GGAGACAGTTTTGGGAAGACTTGGGACTGAAGTGCTGTTGGTGGTGTCGCCCTGCGAGGAGTAACCAGGCTGGTGGAAGCCAGGGTGAGGCTGTCGTGCTGTGAACAGGCTGCTGGCATCAGGGCACTGAGCCAAAGCTGCACAGCGTAGAAGCACCCAGGGTTACAGGGAACACAAGCCCCTACTGGTCTGGATTGACCCTGCAAAGCGTCACTCCTGGTAGTGATGGGCCAGCCCAAAGGAGACCAGAATGCCTGGAAAAAAGAGGCTGAGACCCTTGGGGCTCTCTTGAGTGCTTTGACTGTTAGGTTAATTCAGACTGAAATGGTTTATTGTCTTGGTTTTTATTTTTAGTCTGCAGTAAACGTAGCACACGCGCCTCAGAACTCCAGCGTGCACTCCAGCTCGCAAGGGAACCAGGGAGCCGCCTCCTGCCCCCGCTGCCTGTCAGTCACAGCAAGGGGTTTAGGGATACAAGTGACTCCTATTGCTCCTCTTTGCCTAGCTCTGCAGGAGGGAGCTTAAAGCTGTTCCTTCAGAACTGCTGCCTGGGCATGTCTTCCCGTGGGAGCACACAGGGGTCGTGGAGGGTTTCCAGCCGCCCTGTCCGAATGTGTTGGGGTTGGGTCTGAGCCCTCTTGGTTTCCTAGCCTTGCTTTAGTATTTGGGCTTTTCTCCTCTTCTGTCATGGGTATAAGGCTGATCAGGGCAGACTGAGAGCGATGACGCCTGTAAGATAGTCTGAGCTGTGAATAGAGACTAGGGCTGAGGCTTTCACTGCTGCAGTGAGAGTGACTCGTGGCTGCCGTTTGAAGAGAGAACTGTGCAGTGGCATGGCAGGTGCCCTTGGAGAGGAGCCTGGCTGAGCACTCCACCTGTGCACACAGCCTCATTACTGCCCTTCTGCCTGGAGCGGTCACTTCTCTGCAATTCCACGTCATTCGAAATACCACAGCTGGAGCTGCCGAGCCCTCTGCTATATGTTCAGCTCACAGTGACCTCGACCAGCAGCTCTCTGGCCCATGGAGTTACCCTGGGGGGAGATCAGATCCAGGCTTCCTGTCTTCCAGATGAGACTTCAGTATAATGCCCCCAGACCCTGACCAGCTCCTGCACAGCCATGCCAGCTCTGCCCAGCCACCCTGGCCACCACACTGCTCCCAGTACACAGCACTGTGGCCAACTCTCTCCATTCTATCCTGAGTCTTGTGCTATTTGGTGTTTCAGTGAAGGCCCCAGCTCCTGAAATCACAGGAGCCCCTGACAATCTCAGCTTTTGTCTGAGTGCAAAGTAAGTTTCCCGCCCTCATGGTTGTGGAGAAAACTTTAAACTGTCCAACATCCACAGGCAAATAGAAACCCCACCGCTATTATTTTCAAATCTCATGGTTTTGGGGCGTGACTGATGCTTTTCAAATGCTTCGGGCTAGCGACATTACAGTGACCATGACAATGCTGAGCACTTGGCAGCCATGGCTCTCCAAGTGCATCCCAAAAGGCAGCTGGATGTACTGGCCCCATTACAGGTGGCCCAGAGAGGGGATATGATTCCCAGCACATCAGTGGCAGAGTCACAAACAGGACCCAGATCCCCTGTCCCCCAGGCCTGGACTTAGGTCTACACTTAAAACACTACAGTGGCATAGCCACAGTGCTGGAGCTGTGCATTGTACCACTTCAGTGTAGACACTCACCATAGCGATGGGAGGTGTTTTCCTGTAGCTGTAGTTAATCCACCAGTGACTAGGTTGGTGGAAGGATTCTTCTGTCTACATCGGGGGTTAGGTCGGCATAGCTACGTCTCTCGGAAGCATGGATTTTTCACACTCCTGAGAGATGTAGCTGGGCCAACGTAAATTTTCAAAGTAGACCAGCCCAGAGTACCTTTCCCAGACCTGAAGAAGAGCTCTTAGTCAGCTTGAAAGCTTGTCTCTGTCACCAGCAGGAGTTGGTCCAATAAAAGCTATGACCTCACCCACCTTGTCTGTCTTATATGCTGGCACCAACATGGGTACAACAAGACTACGAACAACAATGTGGTTTTATTTCTTTAATCTCACACTGAACTTTTCTTCCATTGGAAATGAAATTAATTCAGCTCTAAGATTGTGGGTTGTTAGTTGGCCAGGAAACAAGAAGAGATCCCTGTCGATGCATAGAGTACCCAGTGGGGTAGAGTTGGGGTCGATGTTGCCAGTGGCAGCTCAAAAGCCTGAAAGGAGCAACGCTGCCATAGATAGGAGACTATCAAAAGCCTCTGGAAGCCAAAGCTTTTCAGTCTCCTATCTACAGCAGGATGAGTGAGACTGCAAATTGTTTTGACTGCAAATATATTGATGGACAGAAGCAAATGAGACATAAAAAGTCATGGAGATGGCAATCCTCTGACTAGTTCTTAGTCCTGTGCAGCGCAGCACTGGGTAAGGCTGCCTCAGTGAGCCCAGTGCTTAGAGTCTTTCAGACACCTATAGACTTGTGAAATATTCCCCTGACTGTCTGGCTTTTCCCAGGCGCTCTCTCTCTGCCTGAAGAGTAAAGGTTTAAAGTCTGAGCAAAAACAGTTCAGTTTTTGTGGATGAAGTCAGTGGAACAAATGCATTTTGGCTTATAAACATTGTTTATACCCTTTTGGTTCAATTGGTTCAAAGCGCCCATGGGGGGGAGAGTTGGAATTTGGCCTGAAGAGTACTTGTGTTTGAGTTTTACATCATGTGTAGTAACCTAATGGCACAGGGCATGTGTGTGCGTGGGGGGGCGGTTACATCATATGTAACCAAACACTGAAACCCTGCCTGCTCCCTGAATGAGGCTCCTTAGGAAGTCTGCAGAAGCCTTGTGCTCACCTGGCTCTGTGGAACTCCTGCCTCATTGGCAGCCCATCCTGGGTGGAGAGAATTGCTCCAATTCCATTTGACACATTGTGTTTGGTCTGTCCCCTCGCACCTGCGTCTTTTCTTTTCTTTTTTCTTTTCTTTTGAAGAGATAAGTACCTAGCAAAATAAATCCAGTATCGATGTCCCAAGAATGCCCAGGAGGAAGGTGACTCCATCTCGCGCCAGGCACTGCTGAGGTTGAGCCTGTGGTGCACTCACAGCAGGCCACTTGCGTATATGCATTCCAACAGTTTTTGCCCACATACTATTTCCCCAGGACCCCTGTTAGGGTTACCAACCCTCCAGGATTGGCCTGGAGTCTCCAGGAATTAAAGATTAATCTTTAATTAAAGATTATGTCATGTGATGAAACCTCCAGGAATCCATCCCACCAAAATTGACAACCCTAACTCCTGCCCAAGTTCAACAGGGAACAGTGAATGAGGCAGGGACACATACGGTATTAAACAGGAGCCCAAGGGCCTGTGCCTCATTTGGGGCCAAAGTCTCTTTGCAGTTATTCCAGAATGCACCTAGAATAAATCCAAAGACCTCGAGGGGCATCCTGTGAATGAGATCAGATGTAGGGCCCAGCAGCAGAGCTTGCATCTCTGCAGGCTGGAGGATGCAGGGTCAGTGAGGCAGGTCACTGAAGAGCAAGGATTAAATAAATATTCCTTAGCTACCTCATTCACTGGGCACTACCCAGAGGGCTTTCCTGGAGCGTGAATCAGGCCTTGAACAGGGTGTGAGTAATGTGGAGCTCTCATCACATGTAATTGAAGACTGTCTCTGGATGCCTGGGGGCTGAACAGAGGGGGGATGGCCAGTTTGAGTGTTTGGCTTTGGAACCTGAACCTTGTGTGAATGCAGATTTGAGACTGAACAGGTGTAGTGGCACATAGCTCTGATGTTAGCAATCCCTGGGCAGGAACACCTAAACACCATGCACCATAGCATGGGGCTGAGTCCTCTACTTGCGTTGTTATGCCTGGTGATCTAGGTTATGGTACTGGCCCTCAGTAGTGCCTTGATGTGACATGCTGGCTGGCACAACCGGGACAAGGGCAGTCAGATCTAGTGGTTGGAGCAGAGGCAGGCCGAGTCAGGTACTGGCAGGTCAGGGTCTGAGACCAGCCGGAGGGCAAATGCAGAGTCAGGCAGGATCAGGTCACCAGGAGATCGGGGTCAGGCTTGCAGGCAACAATCGAAGAGCAAAGCCAAGGACAAACTGGGGCTGGAAGCCAGAGTCTAGGGTCTATTGCGAGCAGGGGCTGGAGCAGTTACTTCCTGGTTTAAGTCCTAGTATCAGCCAATCAGTGGGCTACAAGGGGCTGCCACTCAGGGCCTGCTAGGCCAAGTAGGGCCAGCTTTGGGGGTGGGCAGGCTGGGCAACGGCCCAATGCATGCCTTCCTGAGAGGGCACGTCCAGAGCAGGGGAGTCCTGTCCCTCCTGCTCCCTGCCGCTGCTCTTCAGCTGTCTGTTGCCACTGCTGCTCCTGCCCCATGCCCCTGCTTGGAGCTGCCCCATGCCAACCTGCTCCTGGGAGCCGCCTGTGTGCTGTGCAGAGGGCGGGGGGCTGATGTTGGGGTGTCCCCATCCCCCTGCCAGTGTACCCAGTCTCCACTGAGCTGGGGTGGGGAGATGGGCCCACCACTGGTTTTTATTTGCTGTGTAGACAGACCCTAGTGACCCAGGCAGGGACTTTCCCTCTCACAGCCTGGCCCACTCACTGGCTGCTTTGCACCTTGCTGTTCAGTGGGTCACATTGCTCCTCCCCAGAAAGCCTCCACCTCCCAGACTTCTCCCAAAGTCATATTCTCGGCACAGCATGTTGCATCAGTATAAACAGTTGATACAAGATACACAGCAGACCTTTGCACTCTGTGCCTCTCCAGGGAGCGTCTCCAGGAGATTTGGGGCGCTTCACAATCTTGTTGGCATCCAGGGCACCTTTTCCAGGCTGGGGATGGGCAGAGCGTAGTACTGGCATTTATTAGATGTGTTTGTCTGTCTCACTCCTTCCCCGAGACCTCCAGATTGGGGGCTCACTTTCCATATCCATCTCTGTTTACACTTCGCCTTGTCTCAAAGCCAGCTTAGCAGGACTCTCTTCTTCTTCCCAGCAGAAACCCAGGAAGGTCACTCCTCAGCCAGGAGAAGATTCTCTGAATTGCCCTCTGCCCCCCGGCTGGCAGAGCTACATGTCTCCCCAGGGCCACAGGTATTATGTGAATGCCTTCACCAACGGTAAGCCCCATTCAGGCTTGTAGCATCTTGGCTCTGCTATAATGAAGGGTCTCGCAGGGCTATTTCTGGGCACTTAGAATTCACCTCTGTGCTGTCGGTGGTAGTCCACACTGGTTTTCAGGGAAACAATGCAAAGAACAAAAGCATGTGAATGGTACAAATTAATTTCATTGACAAATTCTAGTGACATCAAGAGGAACTCCAAGGAAGCACGGTTAAGCACTCACTCCGAAGTGCCAGAGTGAGGGATGTCTGTGCCACCTTAACTCTGACCCCGCAGTGTGTACTCCAAGAGGCCGACTTTAGTTCCATGGTATTTCTCTGGTGTACAGGATTCAGACTGGTGCATGTCTGATTTCAGAAGTGGCCATTATATTTTCAAACTGAAAACTATTTTTTCCATCAGCTAATAAAAATGTCTGTGTGATTCCAAGTGCAAAGTGTTCCATCGCATAAGGTAGTGATAATGGCTGTCCATGTGTCTTGTCTCTTACAGAGCCCATGTGCTGTGGTAATTGGTGCTTTATAGGCAGAGGGATAAATATGGATGTAGAACCACTGATCGTGTGCAGTCACTTAGAGTTTGAACGTTGCAAGTTTGTTCTGATCTCCTATAAATGAAAAATGGCTGTGGGGTAAAACTTCCAAAAGTGGTTATGTGACTTAGGAGCCAAAGTCCTCTTTTTTTCAAAGGCCCTTAGGCATTTAGGAGCCAGTCTTACTGGATGTCAATGGGATTTCAGCTCCTGTGTCACTTGAGCACTTTTGAAAATTTTACCCTAATTCTTAAACTTGCAAAAAGACCCCATTTCTAACCTCACTGAGTGTGTGTCAATGCAAGGGGTCTGTGGACAGCCTGAACCAGTGGCTCTAAGGGCTGTGAAATAGCTTGGGATAAGCACAGAATACATTGACAGGAACCCATTCATCTTTTTTGGTCTGAGCCAGATCTGTCTAGATTTGAGCCACTGGCATCAGGAAGAGAATGCATTTTTCAAACATGGGGCTTAGGCCACTCAGGCTGCCGCCCCCTCCCAAGAGGGCCTGTGCTATCGACTGCTGCTTTGAGGACTGCCCTTTTCATTTCCTTTTAAAATCCAGCTTTTCTCTTCACTCTAAAATGTTTGTGCCAAGCATTCCCCCCCCTCATCTGTTCAGACTCTGTGCATGTGTAACCCACACACCGCCTGGGTGTGGTGTTAAGTCCCCTCTAGTGGCACCAAGACCAGTTAGAGAGAGAGATTAAGGAGTCTGCTCTACAGCCTTAGCTAACAGCCATATGGCTTTTAGCTCATGCAGTAGAGGCTCATGTATTTAGCTCCAGAGGTCCCAGGCTCGATCCCGCCCGCCAATGACTTGGGTCTGTCGGCGTTACACATGGCCAGAGATGCTGGGAGAGAGCGAGCAAACTTTTCTCCTGCCCCATGCAGTGCTCTGGTCCTCCTAGCTGCAGGGGCAGATGATAATAATGAGAGCTGTCCCCAGAGCTGTATTTTTACAAGGCACCATCCCAGCATTCCTGATAAGGTCTGCACAGAGCTAGGGCAGAGCCAGTGGCCTACTTTTCCAGATGGTGAAACGGTGGAAAAGTAGCTTCCCAAGGCTGTGCAGCAAGGAAGTGTCCGATGGGGTAGTGGAACCCAGGGCAGTGCTAACCCACCCCACATGTTTCAGAGTAACAGCCGTGTTAGTCTGTATTCGCAAAAAGAAAAGGAGTACTTGTGGCACCTTAGAGACTAACCAATTTATTTGAGCATAAGCTTTCGTGAGCTACAGCTCACTTCATCGGATGCATACTGTGGAAAGTGTAGAAGATCTTTTTGTACACACAAAGCGTGAAAAAATACCTCCCCCCACCCCACTCTCCTGCTGGTAATAGCTTTTCTAAAGTGATCACTCTCCTTACAATGTGTATATGATAATCAAGTTGGGCCATTTCCAGCACAAATATCCAGCTGCCTGTAGTCTCTCCGCTCTTCTGTGTGAACAGTCAGGCTGACACAGACTCGTGGCCAACTCTCACACAGCACATTCTCCACTGGAGATCTCAAAATGCTGACAAAGGGGAGGCACAAGTAGCCCTATTTTCCAGGCAGCATAACTAAGCATCTCTAAAGCCACTGTTTCTGAGAGGGTCTGTCAGCTGGTGTCTGAGGCACGGATCTATCGTCACATCAGAGATATGGCTCCTCGTACCTGCTCCGCCACAAGTCCCCCTACTCTCATTCATTGTTCCTTATAACTTGCCCCATCAGTTCAGGAAGAGGCGTGACATTTACAGTCCACACGCGACACGTGACTGGAGGATTCCCCAAGCAGCAGAGGTGAAGTGCAGAGGATTGTTAAGGCCAGTTGTCAGCATGGGTGGGAATAGAACGTGGCTTTATTTAGCCCAGGGCTCATAGGTGCTGGAACTAGGGGTGCTGGGGGTGGTGGCAGCACCCCCTGGCTTGAAGTGATTCCATCATATAGAGAGTTTACAGTTTGGTTCAATGGCTCTCAGGCCCCCCACTATAAAAATTGTTCCAGCATCTATGCCTGGGTTCTGAGGTGCTCAGGGTGGGATGAAGAGGGCAGGGGAGAGTGGGGACCCTGTTTCCAGGCTGTGTGACTCACAGAACAGCTGAGTGCTGATGGCTGTAGGGCATTCTAGGGGTTATTTAACTGCACTCCATGTCTGCTGCTGCCAGCGCTGGTGATAAGCCATAGAACAGAGTGGCCAAACCGTGGCTCATGAGCCGCATGCAGCTCTTTTACAGTTAAAGTGAGGCTTGTGGAGGACCACTTCTCCATTCTCCACCTACCAAACTCATAGACTCATAGATATTAAGGTCAGAAGGGACCATTATGATCATCTAGTTTGACCTCCTGCACAATGCAGGCCACAGAATCTCACCCACCCACTCCTGCAATAAACCTCTCACCTATGTCTGAGCTATTGAAGTCCTCAAATCATGGTTTAAAGACTTCAAGGTGCGAGAATCCTCCAGCAAACTGCCGGGGAGCTCGGGGCTTCTGCCCTGTGGCGAGGTGGTAGGGCTAGGGGCCATGGGCAGCGCTTGACTCCTGACCCCCTGACTTCCCCCCCCGTGGGACCCTCATCCTCCTGCCCTCCCCTGCTGCGGGGCCCTAGTCCCGCTACCCTCCCGCACCGCAGGGCCCTTGTCCTCCTCCCCTCCCCTGCCGAGGGGCCATCATCCTCCTGCCCTCCCCTGCTGCAGGGCCCTCGTCCCCCTGCCCTCCCCCAGCACAGGACCTTAATCCTCTTGCCCTTCACTGCTGTGGGGCCCTAGTCCTCCTGTCCTCCACCTCCCTGAGGCCCACATCCTTCTGCCGTCCCTGACTTGGGGCTCTCATCCCTCTGGCCTCCCGCCACAGGGCCCTCGTCTACCTGCCCTCCCCTGCCATGGGGCCCTAATCTTCCTTTAATTTTTAACTTTAATTTTCCTGATATCTGCTGGGAGAGCAATACAGCGGTGCATAGACAATCCAGGAAGTTTTTGGAAAGCGTAGGGGACAATTTCCTGGTGCAAGTGCTAGAGGAGCCAACTAGGGGGGGCGCTTTTCTTGACCTGCTGCTCACAAACCGGGTAGAATTAGTGGGGGAAGCAAAAGTGGATGGGAATCTGGGAGGCAGTGACCATGAGTTGGTTGAGTTCAGGATCCTGACACAGGGAAGAAAGGTAAGCAGCAGGATACGAACCCTGGACTTCAGGAAAGCAGACTTCGACTCCCTCAGGGAACGGATGGCCAGGATCCCCTGGGGGACTAACTTGAAGGGGAAAGGAGTCCAGGAGAGCTGGCTGTATTTCAAGGAATCCCTGTTGAGGTTACAGGGACAAACCATCCCGATGAGTCGAAAGAATAGTAAATATGGCAGGCGACCAGCTTGGCTTAATGGTGAAATCCTAGCGGATCTTAAACATAAAAAAGAGGCTTACAAGAAGTGGAAGGTTGGACATATGACCAGGGAAGAGTATAAAAATATTGCTCGGGTATGTAGGAATGATATCAGGAGGGCCAAATCGCACCTGGAGCTGCAGCTAGCCAGAGATGTCAAGAGTAACAAGAAGGGTTTCTTCAGGTATGTTGGCAACAAGAAGAAAGCCAAGGAAAGTGTGGGCCCCTTACTGAATGAGGGAGGCAACCTAGTGACAGAGGATGTGGAAAAAGCTAATGTACTCAATGCTTTTTTTGCCTCTGTTTTCACTAACAAGGTCAGCTCCCAGACTGCTGCGCTGGGCATCGCAAAATGGGGAAGAGATGGCCAGCCCTCTGTGGAGATAGAGGTGGTTAGGGACTATTTAGAAAAGCTGGACGTGCACAAGTCCATGGGGCCGGACGAGTTGCATCCAAGAGTGCTGAAGGAATTGGCGGCTGTGATTGCAGAGCCATTGGCCATTATCTTTGAAAACTCGTGGCGAACGGGGGAAGTCCCGGATGACTGGAAAAAGGCTAATGTAGTGCCAATCTTTAAAAAAGGGAAGAAGGAGGATCCTGGGAACTACAGGCCAGTCAGCCTCACTTCAGTCCCTGGAAAAATCATGGAGCAGGTCCTCAAAGAATCAATCCTGAAGCACTTGTATGAGAGGGAAGTGATCAGGAACAGCCAGCATGGATTCACCAAGGGAAGGTCATGCCTGACTAATCTAATCGCCTTTTATGATGAGATTACTGGTTCTGTGGATGAAGGGAAAGCAGTGGATGTATTGTTTCTTGACTTTAGCAAAGCTTTTGACACGGTCTCCCACAGTATTCTTGTCAGCAAGTTAAGGAAGTATGGGCTGGAAGAATGCACTATAAGGTGGGTAGAAAGCTGGCTAGATTGTCAGGCTCAACAGGTAGTTATCAATGGCTCCATGTCTAGTTGGCAGCCGGTATCAAGTGGAGTGCCCCAAGGGTTGGTCCTGGGGCTGGTTTTGTTCAATATCTTCATAAATGATCTGGAGGATGGTGTGGATTGCACTCTCAGCAAATTTGCGGATGATACTAAACTGGGA